GGGCTGAGGTGGTGGTTGTGAAATTACAAAATGTCCTCCCCCTCCACCTTTCAAAACAGATATCTGCCCTTCCCTGGGTATGACATTAAACTCCATCGAGTCGGCAGTGTCGGCACCTGACTCGTCTTAGTGACTGCTGAGGCAAGAGTCCATACACTTTTATTTTAGGATGTGATTTGGTTTTTCTTGCCCATTTTTTGGTGATTATGACTATTTTGGATAACGAATGTTTTGAGCAGAGGTGGATTCAAGGCCTGCCCCCTCCCCTCATTTTTTTAAGAAAAAAAAAAGAAAAAAATTATATTCAAATTTAAATGTGAGAGTGTAATTTCCGGCCATCTAGAGATGCCCTAATCATAAATTTTCTTACCTCAGCCCCAACCATGGTGGGGCTGGGGTGGGTGGTTCCTCGGTCTGTGAAAGTTCCTCCCTGGTTCACCTCTCTTTCGAATTCCTGGATCCGCCACTGTTGATTTATTATATAATTATTGTTGCGCTTATTTATAATGCGTCTATTGCAATTTTAAATTTATCCTCTCACAACAGTCCATAAGAACGTTCAGAGTGCGCTACTTCACAGGAGGAATTCTCCCCTTGGACCCCGCCGGGGTCCTACGTAATTCGCATAACGGCTCCCCTCCTTTCAAAATCCGGCTACGTTCCTGGTTCACTTAAGATAGTAAAATACCACGCACAATCCAAAAAGGCTGAGCTAAGCAATATTGTTTAATTAAAAACTATTAGGAATTCGCGATGATGTTATAATATACATTCTAAACAAATTTAATCAGAATATGTCTGCCTCATGAACGAATTGTGTTCATTCAAACATCTGCTTAACTTCGTGCAGAAAATATATAAATACAACAAATTTGAAAACTTTCATCTGTACTCTACAATAACGTTGGCTTAGATGTTTTTAGTTCAGTATCAGAATATCAATATAATTATTTTTCAATATCGATTTTAAAAGGAAATCTAATAAAATATCATATCAAGTTGAAGTCAATGTTTACAAAGACGGAATTTTTTGATCTAAAAAACAAATAAGTAAATATACAGCTGTTGTCTGGTCTAACACCCACGATTAAAACCATGAGATGTTTTAAATTAGTAACGATACTATTTTCTAGGTCGGCACCTGACTCGTCTTATTGACTGCTGTGGCGAGGGTCCATACATTTGTTTTTAGGATGTGATCTGGTTTTTCTTGCCTATTTTTGGTGATTATGACTATTTGGATAAAGAATGATTTGAGTAGAGGTGGATTCAAGGCCTGCCCCCTCCCCTCTTTTTTTTAAGAAAAAAAAGGAAAAATTATATTCATATTTAAGTGTGAGAGTGTAATTTCCGGCCATCTAGAGATGCCCTAATCATAAATTTTCTTACCTCAGTCCCAACCATGGTGGGGCTGAGGAGGGTGGTTCCTCAGTCTGTGAAAGTCCCTCCCTGGTTCACCTCTCTTTCGAATTCCTGGATCCGCCACTGTTGGTTTATTATGTAATTATTGTTGCGCTTATTTATAATGCGTCTATTGCAATTTTAACTTTATCCTCTCAAACACTCCTAAGAACGTTCAGAGTGCGCTACTTCACAGGAGGAATTCTCCCCCTGGACCCCTCCGGGGTCCTACGTAATTCGCATAACGGCTCCCCTCCTTTCAAAATCCGGCTACGTCCCTGGTTCACTTAAGATAGTAAAATACCACGCACAATCCAAAAAGGCTGAGCTAAGCAATATTGTTTAATAAAAAAACTATTAGGAATTCGCGATGATGTTATATATACATTCTAAACAAATTTAATCAGAATATGTCTGTCTCATCAACGAATTGTGTTCATTCAAACATCTGCTTAACTTCGTGGAGAAAAAATACAACAAATTTGAAAACTTTCATCTGTACTCTACAATAACGTTGGCTTAGAATAATGTATGTTTTTAGTTCAGTATCAGAATATCAATATAATTATTTTTCAATATCGATTTTAAAAGGAAATCTAATAAAATATCATATCAAGTTGAAGTCAATGTTTACAAAGACGGAATTTTTTGATCTAAAAAACAAATAAGTAAATATACAGCTGTTGTCTGGTCTAACACCCACGATTAAAACCATGAGATGTTTTAAATTAGTAACGATACTATTTTCTAGGTCGGCACCTGACTCGTCTTATTGACTGCTGTGGCGAGGGTCCATACATTTGTTTTTAGGATGTGATCTGGTTTTTCTTGCCTATTTTTGGTGATTATGACTATTTGGATAAAGAATGATTTGAGTAGAGGTGGATTCAAGGCCTGCCCCCTCCCCTCTTTTTTTTTAAGAAAAAAAAAGGAAAAATTATATTCATATTTAAGTGTGAGAGTGTAATTTCCGGCCATCTAGAGATGCCCTAATCATAAATTTTCTTACCTCAGTCCCAACCATGGTGGGGCTGAGGAGGGTGGTTCCTCAGTCTGTGAAAGTCCCTCCCTGGTTCACCTCTCTTTCGAATTCCTGGATCCGCCACTGTTGGTTTATTATGTAATTATTGTTGCGCTTATTTATAATGCGTCTATTGCAATTTTAACTTTATCCTCTCAAACACTCCTAAGAACGTTCAGAGTGCGCTACTTCACAGGAGGAATTCTCCCCCTGGACCCCGCCGGGGTCCTACGTAATTCGCATAACGGTTCAGTCAAACATCTGCTTAACTTGTTGGAGAAAATATATAAATACAACAAATTAGAAAACTTTCATCTGTACTCTACAATAACGTTGGCTTAGAATAATGAATGTTTTTAGTTCAGTATCAGCATATCAATATAATTATTTTTCAATATCGATTTTAAAAGGAAATCTAATGAAATATCATATCAAGTTGAAGTCAATGTTTACAAAGACGGAATTTTTGATCTAAAAAACAAATAAATAAATATGCAGTTGTTGTCTGGTCTAACACCCACGATTAAAACCATGAGATGTTTTAAATTAGTAACGATACAATTTTCTTTTTTATACTTTATTACCGGTCAGGAGCTTTTTATTCTGGCACATTGTCGGTATACAGGAAAAATATCAAAAAGTGACTTCGAAAAATCCGGCTTTCTAAGAACACGGTTATAATTACTAAAAGCTGATATTTTATTATAATGTCTAAAATAAGCACGGACGCTCGGCGGAAAAACACTTGCAGACATTAAAAAATGGTTTTTGGAGTGTGTATGTATTAACTTTATTCTTTAAAATATAAGACAAATAGGACAAAATATGCTATAGCATTTCTTTAGAAAACGAATGTCATCTCACTTGAGATTTCGGACTCTTACCAAAGAAAATGTTATGCATAAGTCATGTGGTCCTCTTTTTTAAGAAAAATAAAATACCATACATATTCCAACTACGACGCCCCGTAACAGACACCCAAACCACACTCGCACACCCGAAGACGGAAGTTTATAATATATTGATTTTACTAAACTTAAGGTCTAGAGGCGAATCGGGTAGGCGGATGACTAACTTGGGTTTTCACATTTTTAGCATTTATTTAGAGAGTAAATTATATTGGTTGCCATGGCAATTTTACCTGTCTCTTATACACATCTAGATGTGTATAAGAGACAGTCTGTACTCTACAATAACGTTGGCTTAGAATAATGTATGTTTTTAGTTCAGTATCAGAATATCAATATAATTATTTTTCAATATCGATTTTAAAAGGAAATCTAATAAAATATCATATTATGCATATTAGTGTATTGTATTGTATTGCATTGATTGCGGTGTATTGTATTGTATTGTTGTGCAACACCTCAATGTTTGTTGAGGTTGGCATTTTATTTTGTGAATTTCTTAAAAAGTCAGTTTTTCCGTTATAATTTTTGTAATTCTTTATCGATGATGTGCGGGAACACATTTAGAAGTGCTACAGTATGTTTCACAGCTTATTACTTACATTATTTTTTTTTTATCATATGAACATTGTTTCCGTATTACAATATATGCATTTTGAATTTTGAATCACAATTTAGCAATGATTCAAATAATTTTTAGCGTACACGTCTTCTGTTTGGTAGCCAATTATTCGTATTTTGGGCTTCTATCTAAGATCGATGCCAAAGACCAAGCAAAATGTACATTCGAGGATCGAGTACGAACCACAATTCAATGTCGAGAGACAGTACCACGCATATATAGCTCCTCATCTCGGACAACAAAACAGCTGCGTAAGAGAGGTCGTGGAGAAAAACCCCTCTGTGATAAAATAGGCTTTATGATAAAATGTGTTTCTTTTGTGTGGCTTTACCCTAAAAATGAAAATTAGAAACAGTTTTTTGTTAATCTTCTAAAATGGGAAGCAGACGCACCCTTAATTTTATCCCCCGCCATCAAGGATTTGCCACTCATCCTTCCAGTCATGATTATATTGAACTTAGCTACTTGATAAAATGCTAGTGACAAACTTACCCAAAAAGCATAATTGATGTTATTATAGGGGAAATAAACTACACTACTGTATCCTTTGTCAACAAAGAAAGAACAGTACTGTACAGCGTTAAACCTCGGTTTTTCCATATAGAATCGCTCACCATCGGCTACAGTTGGTTCAACTTGGCCGATTGCGTTGCAGACGAACCCGGGTGCCTTTCCGATTGCCTTCGGGGCTGCTAGCAACGCATGTTGAATCGTCTGCAACGCAATCGGCATAATTAAACCAGGTTCAACCTTCCCGAGATATGTCGGCGACTATCGCCGATAGGGTGAGTGATTTTATGGAAACCAAACTAAATATGGACAGGAGAATAAGCGCGAGCGTGTCAGCTGATTGCGTGTTCATAGTATACGCAATGGAATCTCGGTTGCTGCGCAACAGTATCTACTATGGCATACTTAGATAGTAGGTCTAGATGGTCAACGTATTTGTATTTTACATCATCAGATATCTTACAGTATTTTCTACTGAACGATACCGTTCACTAGTTTAAAAAAAATAAATAAATGGAAATACCAGAGACAAGTAAAAATGGAGACACGACAGACAATTAATAAATATGACAGTGAAGATAAGGAAAAAAGAAATTTAAATGAATTAGTAAAAAACGAGGCACCAAATAAGCGTAGCAGCAACCGAAAAGAGTTGAAAAGAAACAGTATGGACACCGATGACAAGTGTACTGGTTGCAGGTATAGGCCTAGACCTACGAATCTGCAAAAGGAAAGCTCATCCAGTGACAATGATTTTGAGCACTCTTTTGTAAGTGATCTTAAAGCATGGGGAGTCACAATTGGCAAAACAATTGGCGAAGGATCGTATTCTAAAGTTAAGAAGGTTTTTATAAACAGTCTTAATGCATCAGCTGCCATGAAAATCGTCAGTCGCGAAAAAGTTAAGAAAGATTTCCTGAAAAAATTCTTTCCACGCGAAGTACACATTCTAAAGAAATTGAACCATCCGAATATTACGAAATTGCTGGATATTATTTATTGCCGAGATAGAATATGTCTGGTCATGGAGTTGGCTCGACGTGGAGACCTTCTAAGATACATACAGAAACGGGTTTATATTAAAGAGCAGCAAGCAAAGATCATATTTCGTCAGATTCTACTTGCTGTTCAGTACTTACACACAAATGGGATATTTCATAGAGATCTTAAATGTGAAAATGTATTGCTAGATGATAACCTTGTGGTGAAAATAAGTGATTTTGGATTTGCACGAGAATGGAGCGATGCCAATAGACTTTGTAAAACGTTCTGTGGAAGTTCGGCGTACGCGTCTCCTGAAGTAATAAGAGGAATTCCCTATGACCCACACGACAGTGACATCTGGAGTATAGGTGTCGTTCTTTTCATTATGGTAAGTCTAAACACTGGCTAATTGTGGTAGTGCATTCGATTCCAATTAGAATCACAGTTGCAAGATTTTTCCGCAAGTAGGCCTATTTGGGAAGGCACGATAACACGTCACACGGCAAAACATCATTCCTATCAAATCTCCTGACGAAAACACCATCATAATATAGCATTGCAATAGGCCTACCCGTTGCTCTTGGGGACAGTGCGTATCTTAGGAGGACACAGGGAGGGGTGCCCAAAACAACTCGCTCCCCTAGTACCCCCTGCCCAGTGGCGTATCCAGGGGGTGCAAACCCCCCCCCCACAAAAAGCCTGCGCCCTCCCCCAGTCGCTCCCCCATTCGAAAACTTCGAAAAGGCAAGAAATCGTAATCGACAATAAAAGTTTCATTTTGTTTATTATGGTATTATCTCACTTCTTAAATACTGCGTTCAAGAGATCTAACATATCTGTTTTTAATACAGAGGGGAAAACCTTAAATTTTGAAGAAATTGAATGTAATTAAAAGACACCTCAGAAGTCGGGAAAGCTCATTTCCCGCCTTCTAGGAATCAAAATTTTGCTGGGGGAGAACCCCCCGACCCCCCTTTTTTTTTGGGATTTATCGATCGATTTATCGAAAAAAAAAGAACAAAGTCATTAGACACCCAGCTCAAAAGTCGAGAAAGGTCATTTCCAGCCATCTAGAAATCTAAATTTTCCCGGGGGAGGAATGTTGACCCCACCACCTAGGTTTGATTCCCGATCTGCATGATTCCTGTCTCTTATACACATCTAGATGTGTATAAGAGACAGCCCATATAGGGTGTCTATAAACACTTTAAAAAACGTTCCGCCGGCCCTGCTAAGGGCAAGCTCGGTGCTAGTCGGGTTCGATTCACACCCGAATACTTGCGAGATTTTTTTTTTTGCAAGTATTTGGGAAAGTGCTGTGCATTTAGTACGATAACAACATGTCAGGAACATCATTCTTATCGAATCATTTAGGAAAAAAACAGAGATACTATCTCTTAATTTTCCATTTATTGGCATTACATTATCGTTGTATTACGTTAATTAAACTACTCTGTCTGAGGTGTTATGCTCGGCTTCCACAGAATCGTTGCCGGGAAGTTGAACCTGGTTCCACTTTGCCGGTTGGGGTTGCAGACGAATCAGGATGCAAAATAGCTGCCCTGACACGATTCGTGTCAGGAATTAGTAACTAAATACATTACCGAACTCGCGCGAATAAGCGCCTCCTCAAGATTTTCTTTTTAGCAAGTCAATTATCCAATCAATCCTGGGACTGTGGTTGTTGGCATGATTTGAGATGCAGAGCGGAATCACATTCTTCTTAGGTCAATATCAAAATGAGGATATTTCTCTTGTACAGATTGGAACTCTGATTCATGGACAGGCAGTATATTTCCAAATTTCATCTTCTTACATATATTTTGTCTAGGCCTAATCCAACTCCTTATTTTTTCCCGACAATTTGCACCTTTAGCACTTTCTCATCTCATATCAAGAAAACCTGAAATAATCCTGCCGTCCTGCTAATCTCATGGCAATCGACCGATGGCCAACAAGTTAATTGCATCTGCTATTCTGCTGTTATGTAAATATTCACAGCATTCTTGTCATGAGTCATGTTTTCTGGACATTTATGTTTTCCGTTGCACCACCATTCGTAATGTCCTTGTATAACCTATTTTCATTCAAAAAGTGCCTCTTGAATTTAATAAGTTCCCATAAGAACCCTTCGATTTTCATCTATTTCCATAAGCGCCCCTCAATTTCCACTCTGTTTTCATAAGCACCCCGTATAAATAAGCGCCCCTCAGAAAGTGCAAAAAAATATTTTAAGCGCCCGGGCGCTTATTCGCCCGAGTACGGTATACTGGAGTCAAAATTTATTAACATTATGTATATAGTTTTGCGGTATATATTTCATGCGATGACATCGTCTTTTGTTACATCCTTTATTGATTGTCTATGTACTTTCTGAATTTTTTTTTGCATTTGATTGTATTTGATTGTATGTGTTTTGGGCCCTGGAGGATAACAATGCTTTTTGCAGTGATCAGGTCACCCGGGGGAGGGGGGGGGAGGAAGAAAAAAATTGGAACACGATTACATATATTTATCATTATGCTAGTATTCAATACTATTAACAGACCACTGGTTCAATGGCGTACGATGACAGAGACCTCAATAAAATGCTGAAATTAATGGACGCAGAAGAAATTCCATTTCTGAAAGAACATCCAAATTTCCTTTCAAGTGATGCTGTGAACTTAATCAAACAAATACTTCGAAAAGAACCTAAAGAAAGGGCAACCATCAACCAAATGCTCAACCACGCATGGACCCAGTGCAGTGAAGAACCCACCGACAAAAGTTGAAAAACGATTGGTGGTGGTAGACTGTTTGTAGCGTCGTGTTGCGGATGTTTTATGTCCACTTTTACTCTAAAATGATATTGTATTTGGAAAATTGTTCATGCTACATTTAGTGGACTGTACAAATTGGTGGCGCTAGACTTTCGTTTGAGAAACTAAATTTAAATAAATGTGATGAAAGTGAAGATTTCTCTGGTTCTCTTAGTTTCTGTTATATGGATGTCTGTGAGTTGAGGTTTAGACTATAACATAACATAATTAACTGAACACACCCACACTTAAATGAACAATAGATCCTAGAGGAACATAGAAAAATTATTAAATTATCACTTCTTTTTTTGGGCAGGCGGTTTTTTTTTTTTTTTTTTTAATTGGAACAATAGAATATTGTTTTTTGGGGGTTTTTTTCGATGAGGGAGGGACTGTTTTAATTTGGCAAGAGTATTGTAAATATTTTATCAAAACTGGTTTAATTTTATTGCTTTTAAAAGAAAATGTATTTTCAGTCACAAAATAGCATTTTCTGACTGATGATGCGGCCAAAATTTTTTTTTTATTCCTGCATCAATATTTCCCAAATTTTGGACGCAGACAGGAGTGATAATTTAACAATTTTTTCTATGTGCCCTAAAACATAATATGTTTTAATTACAACATAATTGCCTTGTCCTCAATGAGTATTTCAACCCATGCGACCCTCCGATTATAACCTTGGTAAATTTTGTATCAACGATGAAAAAGCAATGACAAAAGTACGCCAGAGTTGGCAAATGTACGACGAATGTTGTTGAAGCTGCCAACACAATGTTATTCAGGTTTAGAGTTGAAAGTTGGTTTTGACCACCAAGAAAAACAAAGACTTCACAACATACTGAAAGGATATACAGTATTTATTTTGTAAATGAGATAACCAAAATGTATCGCAATGTTTTAAGTCATGAAATAATATTTAGGCTTACTGTTAGAAAGTGCCTAATCAATTCGCCTCGGAATAGCACGCTGGGTAGATGGCGCATTTTAAGTGCCCTTTTATTTTACTATCATCATTTGTAACAGGCCCAAACAAGAAAACCCTTACAAATAGTAAGTACATACTTTGAATGTTAATTGCATATTCACCGAGTACCAAGTGCACACTTACCCTGCAGTGGCAGCACTACTGTTTCCTTGACGAAGGGTTTACAAACCCCCCAACAGAGGGTTCATACTCACCTCAGCCACACTATGGTTGCGGCGAGTAATTTTTTTTTCTAAAATGCTTTTTCTCAGAAAAGTGCCTTAGCAAAATAGGGTTTGTCATTAAGGAGCTGTGGAACACTGTAGTCCCTGCCACTGTCAACATGCATTATTAGGGAGCTTTCGATTGCACGACGACAGTAGGACGTAGAACGTAATGACGTCACTAAAAGTCATCTGCGCATGCGAGAACGTTAGGGTCTCCTCAGCGTGTGGATTCTAGGAAGCAATTTGGCCAAATCTACGTATGCAGAAAACATAGGACGGCCGGTAGGACAGTTACACATGAGTGATTCCGTTCTAGTGTTGCGTTGTCGAACACATCGAAAGTTCCCTACTAAACAAGTGTAAAGCCTCTGTCCCAACTGTCAAATTTTACGTTTTACAAAAACATGTGACATGCCTAAATATGGTCATAATGACATCACATCATCACCAGATATAGGCACATCATGACTATATATGGGCATACAATTTTTTTGTCAAAGAAATTTTGCTAAACTAGACAGAGCTTAAGTGAAAAATTTTTAGTTACCATTCAGTAAAAGAAAGGAATGTTTTTCTCTAGCCACCCCTTTAAAATTTATCAAATACAAACCACCCAAGCAATCATAGTAGTAGGTAGATAACACTTTTAGCAGCAGCCTGCAATACAAGTTGACGTGCTTATAGCATTTTTGGAGGTTACAGTACAGTAATTTTTTGCAGCTTAAACGACTTTTTTTATACCTTGTTTCGCAAACTTATTTTTTTTAAATCATCAGAGGATGGCGGACAAAAAATAAAAATAACATTTTGTTTTCTTATTTAGTTTTGCCAAAAACATAAAGATAAAGGAGAAAATAAAAATAAAATTTTATTGGTGAATGTAAACTGTGTAGTAATGGGATGGTTAAATGTTTTAAATTTATATAATTAGGAAGAAATATTATCTTATTTTTGGATATTTCAAGGCAGCGGTGAGCGTAATAAAAATAAAGATAAACTCTTATTTTTTTTTCTGAAATTTCCATATTTTTTGTAGCAGTGGGTGCACTAATTGGTCAAAAATAAAATTTTATTTTTATTCCAAATCATCATCATTGGCGGGTGACAGGTTCGCTGAACAAGGTATAAAAAATCTTGACTTATTACAAATTATCCGAATTCTACAATGGTCCCATGTGCTGTACATAGACACTCATGATTTGTCGCTACGTTAGCATGATTACTTTTTTAAAAAATTGGCTGCTAATTAAGTTTCTCCCTCATTCCACTATACCAAGGCATGTACAGTGGTGTAACCAGGAAAGTTAAAAAAAATAATAGTTGAACAAAATAATAGTAAATTAATGGAAATAAATGGCAAAGCTTATTCCAGAGCAGGGCATACTTGAATGGAGGAGCTTAATAGATAGTATGGTAACACACTTGATAATTCACATATCGTGTTACTTAATTTAATTTAAATAACAAATAATATGTTCTTATTTAACAGACTTTATTTGGATTATTGTAAGTTAATTGTAGGTCAATGACCTACTATGTTAAATATTAATTACTGTAACCCGCAGTATGTCAAATTGTTATTGGCATACTGTAGGTCAAATGATAGAATTATTTTCATTCTGTTTCGATACCAGGAAAAGGCGCATTTATTAACAGGAATGCAGAGGTAGTTTGGTGACAAATGTTCCAAAAATGAATTTAAAAAAAAACCCAACATACTATTTTTCCAAATTTGTTATTTCTCCAGCAAAAAATAAATTTCTAAAAAACTTGTCTGGTCACTGGAATCAGATGCTCACCACTGGTACTGTTATGTATGTCAATCAAGTGGTCAGTACAGCTTAAGGCAAATCCTTCATCTTTTCCTTGAGCAGAGCATGCTCTAGGTAAGCTGTTTAGTCTGCTGTAGTTTATGGCTAACCTGTGCTTCTTTATGGTGACTCAAATCCAATTATGGTGAAATATTTTTTAATTTTTTTTCTAGCAAGCTGCAACTATTTTGGTCAAAGTTCACCATGCCCTGTAATAAAATTTGATAATTCCATCAGTTGAAAAAAGTTGCCATTGTTGTACTCAATCATTTCAGTCAAATAACAATCAACGTCATTATGAAATTAAAATAACTGTCATTGATGTAAGTGCTTTTCCCCTATTGCACAAGTTGTCATTAACTTACCATGTTTATTTTGTTTTTCTTGATTTTCTTGATGACTTTCTTGATGTTTTTCTTGTTGAGAACTTTGATTTTTCTCCCTTATTTCTTGTTGTAAATTATATATTTCATTGTCATAATCTGGCCATTCGGCTACTATCCTCTTGGCACTTTCTAATTTAGGTTCCTTAGTAAGTGGATTATTGCACTGGGGAAATACATTAAGAAAGTAAACATCACATTAGAGACTGAATGACTCAAATGAAGCTTATCTGATTTGGAAACTGTATGACACACCAGACTTTGCATATCTACATCAATAGAATATAATCATTCATCAAAGATCAACAGAAAGGTGTATGGAGACAATCAATCAATTACGAAAATGGTAAGGTAAAGGAAGGAGAATAACCAATAACTCAGATTAATAACTCAGAGTCATTGTGCTGAATTGTGTTTGGGCGTGATTCGTAACTACCTAGCCACTGTTGTGAGGTGCTAATAGTAGCATGTTCACATCATTTCACAACTACAGGAGCTGAAATGAACCTTAGCATCGGGCACACAAGACAGATGTGCACACTTGACCTCCACAATAGGTTCTTATCTGAAAAGACTTGGTTCTACCAACCAAATCCAGGACGAGGAATGGCTCAAACTTACTGCGCACCACTCAACTCCGCCCCATTAATAATACAATTAATTAATTTATCAATTGAGTAATCAACCAGTCAGCTGTGCACTCATGTAATCAACCAATCAATCAATTAATCAAGATATTTTAAAAAATAAATTAAAATAATTGAATGACTTTAATTATATTGTAGCACAAAGGTGTCCCTTTGCAGCAGCTCTAATTCCCAGGTCAACCACAGATACAGTGGTGTAGCTAATGGTAACTGGAGTTAGGCCAAACCCTGGATACCCCACTGGGGTCATTCATGACCTAAAGCCGTGGACATTACATCCCCTATTTATCAACATACATCTATGTTAACAATACAAATCTTACCAAATCTATAGTTTTTGCTTTCAACTTTTCCTTGTCACTACACCATGTTTCACACCACATCCATTCTTGTGGTAGTGAAAATATAGCTACTTGATGTATCATGTTGTTTGGAAGATCCTACAAAACAAAATCAAAATGTTGCAATTCATATCATATCAAATTAAAGTATTTTTTAAGGATAATATAATTTCTTATTCGGGGCATGCTCTGTTGATGGTCTCTATAACAGTTTTATCATTAATGAAAATTACTTAGTTTTGGATTAGCACAAAGCAAAGTTAAAGATAAAAAGTTGGTCACAGATTTAGAATTAAAGTACTTTTTTTCAGTACATGTACTGTCTTGCAAATGTAGCTACCAAAATGTGTCTACAGGATTTTATTCAGCTTTAAGTTCTTTGAGTGTAGTACAAGTGAGCTCAGATGTGAGGACAATATCACCAAATTGTATAATCATGGAGGCTGCTATAGATCTATCTGAAGTTTGCCTTGTTGTTCTAATTAATTATCACAGACATATGTAACTTATAATTTATCATTCATTTTGAATTAAACATTGTTGGGATTCATAATTCACAATTTCATTGTCTCACATAACTGGACCTAGAAATTAACGACATAATAAATATATCAAAGAATGATATTAAATGATGGCATGAAACGAACCTGGTCGAGGTTTGATAAACTATTTGGATCTTGACTAAGTCCTTGGTATTGACCTCTCAGTCTATCACCAGCAGCTATCTTACGGAATTTCACTAAATCTACTACATACAATGCACTAAATTGAGGAGAAAGAAGAAAATGACATCAAGACACTGTAAATCTTTATGCAAACTCAAGTTATGTATGTTACTGGTTAAATAAGTCTTTGAATATTGATAATGTAGGTATTTTTTCCTCTTAGGTTCTGCTTGCTTTTTGGCTTCTCATTTGCCCATGTTTCTGTGTCTTGATTTTTGTGTATTATGTGTTGGTTATTGCTTCTATATTATAAGGACTACAATGGAAACTATGTTATGTCATAAACTGCCTTTACTGTCTTTCTTTGGTATCTGTTTTTTTCTCATGTTCTTTTTTCTTTATTCTTTAAAAATTGAATAACTTTTATGTATGATAATTGAATGATTCAATAATTCTGATGTACAATTGTCTTCAATTTGTATGCATGGCTTGATGATGTTTTAAAATTGCTGTTTTTATTATGTGAAATACCAAATAAAATCAAAAGGCTTTTCATCATTCAAACATAACCTATACTGAATCAACTTGGCATTGGCCCACACTAAACAACATGTTTTACAATAACCTGCAGACATGGTATGATCGTGAAACAGAACAAAATACTAAATGTTAAATTCTGGATCATAATAGAATCCAAGGAGAGGAATATCAATCCAAAGTAAATCACATTACTCAGAATTTTGTTAGGTGTTGTCACATCAACAGTAGGAAACTTTTGATTGCACGACGATGGTAAGATCTATAACGTCCTGATTTCACATAGAGTCACCTGTACATGCGAGGACGTTCAGTTCACATTGTAGTTTGAAATCTAAGATGCAGTTTGGTGTGAATCCACATTGTACAAAGAATGCAGAACAGTCACGAATGAGTGAATCTTTCCAGAGACCACATCAACGCGCATATCAAAAGCTCCCAAATGATAAATAAAGGAGGACAATTATATGGGCATGAGAGCAGTCATGTTGTACCCTGAGATGAAAAAATTTTTTTTTTCTTTTAAGGGAAGTTCATTTAAATATCAATGGCAATATTCTGTTTATCCAAGAAATATTCCCAAAATGCACTTAGAAATATATGAGGAATGCCATCCCAAAATCAGCATACTGTCACTATCTGAGTAATTAGCATAATAATAATAATAATAATAATAATAATAATAATAATAATAATAATAATAATAATAATAATAATATGTCTTATATAGCGCTTAATGCCTTAACAAAGCCTCTAAGCGCTTCACATTACTACACCGGTCATTGGATCAAACACATATGGAACACATTGAACACCAAATTAAATTATTAAATTATATTATTATTCCATATTGCGGCTAGTAATCAGCGCAGTTGTGTTGGAACCTACCAGGTGCCCACTTGTACTCCTGGGTGGAGAGAGGCAACTGTAGATAAAGTGCCTTGCCCAAGGACACAAATGATTTGCACAGCGAGAGTTTCGAACCCCCAACCTCAAGGTTGGGAGTCCAAGCCACAACCGATGTGCCAACCGCTTCTATGCCAGCTACATGGCATAAGAATGTGGCAGAATTGTATACTTAGTATGGAGAAGCCATAATACTTTTAATCATATATTTGACAATAGTGAGTCGATTCCAGTAAATGACCCATCATTTTAAGCTTACAATGTGGAGAAAAATAAAAATATATTAAAAAGTTAATTTTTATTTTTGGCTGACTGATGCTGGTTTTGGGATGGTAAGCCTCGTATGTGAAAATCTGTCTATGATGGATGAAAAAAAACCAAAAAACAGCTCATTGCTACTCATAAAAATGAACTTCAAAAACAACAAATTGAATGGAAGATTTTAATCATCTAACCTAATATGGTATTTGCGACCAGCTAGATGGCTTGCCCAATAACCAGACTTCCAAAATCTAAAACCATCCATATCTGTTCGACTGTCACAGAATGGTGTGTAACCATAGGGAGCGCCCTTCAGGTCTAAGTCTGCTAAGTCCTGTAGGTCAGCTCGCACGATCTACAAGCAGAAACAAAAAAAAAACCAAAAAAAACTGTCAGATTCAGGAATTATTTTGATCATTTACATAAAGTTTATAACATGAATCAGTCTCAATCCACTTGAAGAAAGAAATTAATTCTAATTAGAACATGTTATGGGAATTTACCTGATCTGCATCAACAAAGATGATCTTCTTAACATGAAGTGGGAACAGAACATCAAGAAAAAGTATTTTATACCTAAATATAGAAACAAAAATACATAGAGATAATAATACAATGCTTAATTCTATTCAGGAAGATGATTAGTTAAAATGACTGTTTGATTTTCTGGTTGTTGCATGCTTTGTACTTTCACTCTCAGAATTTTGAAACCATTAATTGCATTATTGAACTTTTCACAATGAATAAATATATTTTTAGGTAAAAGATAATATAAAAAAATGTCCTTATTGAAATGAATTTTTTTTAATTGTAAATACTCCCCTTCCAGTTCTTATAATCCTAGATCCACAACTAATGGTAAATGAATAGTAGCTTACCCCCAAATAATCCTTTGTTTCTCTGTCTGTTGATGTAGCCACCTGGGCCATTTATACTGCACCAATTCATATTCAAATCCATACTTGTCAGCCATATGTGGCAGGAAGTCCTAGAAGCAAATCCAAGAAATGTCTTTAGAAACCATTTTGTGTAAAAAAAAGTCTTTAAAACCACATTTTGGATCACACTAAGTCATAAAAACTCTACCCGGGACCCCTTACAAGGGAGTTTTTTTCTGGACCGTTGACCGAGGCTTCGTCGACCCCTTGGCTTGGACTTCTCCGTCGGACATGTTGGATGCCCTGTCAGCAAATTTCTGGCACCACCGCTGATTCCAGAGACTTAATTCATATTTTGATTAAAAGCAGTGGCTAGTCTTAAACCAATTCCTAATTCGGATTGGAAAGTTATGTTCTAATGCAATCCATACATTACATACAGTACTGTAACATCCACTGAGATTTAAGAACTGGTTTAAGACTGGTGTAACAATAGCCACTGCCTTGATAAAAAACAACCTGCCTCCTGAATAATAACAAGAGCTTGAAAAACTTAAAATGCTAACCTTAAGTGTTGGTGACAAGAAATTCTTTAAAAACCAGAATTTAACTTTCGATTTAGTATTCTTCAATACACTTAACATCATGATTCTGAATAATAAAGAAAACAAATAGATACATTAGAAAAATATGCAACAAAGGTTGGGAAATGTATATCTGGCATATAAGGAATGTACATCTACCATATATTTCTAATGAGAGCTGAAAGTGATGAAGAAAATCATAGGGCAGAATACTTTGTAAAAAATACAAATCACATCCTTTTGTGTAACTACTAAATATAGTAGAAATAAATATAAAGATTTAAGGCCAACTCAGACAGCATCGGCCGACGCAGCCCGACCCGATTTATCGTCGGGGACAGTCTTAAGCCATCGTGAGAAATATTAAACATGTTACTGACGTATTCAGAATATCTTCATAAGCTCTGTTCACCAGTGATTTGCTGAGTAGAGGGGTGTGATATGACATCACCATGCCCATATATGGGCATATCACAAAACTTGTCACATAAAATGTAATTGTGCGGAGAGAGCCTTAGGTTATGAAACTGTAAATTTCATTGGTCATTTTGTGTATTTGTTATGAAGGACTTTTGTATTCAGTACTTCACAAAAAAATTGGATAACAACAACAGCACATGCTAAATTTATTTTCACGACCTATTTCCATTTTGTGTTAGTTTGTGGTGTGAGCAACAATATATTCTAGTTAAGGTTGTTGTAGACGGCAATCTACAAGTAGGCTACGCATGGAGAATAATGGTCAAAACATTTCTAAAAATAAATGAATACGCTGAACCGACACGGGGGTCGACACAAGCTACCAAAAATCTATGATCCGATCTTAGAGTCATGTGTTCATAAGATCACGTGCTGTGAATCAGTGTAGATTTCAAGCCACATTCCAGCCAGTGTGCTGAGGAAGATCGTAGTGTAAGGTCGACAATTTTACGGTAGGAAATTATTTTGTGTTGTGATCAAAAGTTTAAACTTTCATTACATTCATCCATCAACACAGATAAGCTTTTTTTCGAGTAATAAATGAATAGATTACCTTAGAAAACGTTCATAAAGATGCCCTGACGCCAAAGAAAATATATTGAGTGTTGTGTCTTTATCCGCTTCAGTGACGGTGGTCTTCCTTCCTCCTCCAGCAATACTGGAAAATACACTTAAAGGTAGTAGTATAAATATAGTTTGCAAAAACATGCTTAATATTAATTAATTTGTAATGTGCAAGCATAAAGGAAGGATGTTCGCTGCATAATAAATTCAGCAACAATTTAACTTAAAGATACCTAAAAAATGAATGAATTACCTGGATATAGAGTCCCAGATACCGCCGCCACCTTCGTTTGAGTCATCACTTTCTTCAGCTAGAATATCTTCATTTAATTTATCGGGCTTCTTAGAAACCTTTGAAGCAAAAATAAAAGTAGTGGGTTCACTGAATTGGCTATATCAGTCATTCAGCTATGTTGAACTAGTGTGTCATTTGTTAAAATTTATGTTGAATTTATCAGTATACTACACTACATTCCACTATGTTAAAAATCATGCAACGTTGCTACATACATATAAGTGTTTTTCTTGTTACTATAATTATGACTACATTAGTAGTACTACCACTTCTGCTGTTGTTGTTATTGCTGTTGCTGCTACTGCTGCTCTTGTTGTTGTTGTTGTTGGGAGTATTTTTGGTGTGAATTACACCAAGGGTAACTCACAAATTCTGAAGAATTGTTTCAAGTGGGGGGGTCTTTCTGGTGGTCAATTGTTGCTGCTGCTGTTGTTTTTGTTGCTGTTGTTGTTACTGTTGCTGTTATTAACAATATCATGATCATTATATATTATTTCAAGAACACTGACTAAAAACGAAGTAGTTACACTAAGCCTGCATGTTTTGATGATGGTGAAAGGTAGTCAACGGATATTTTCACAGGAATCTTGCTTTACATTAAACTGATATTTACCCTTATTTTGAGAATGTTGCTTTTAAAACTGTCCATTATTACAATTACATCATTATTAATAGATCTTGAATCTGCTCCTTGAACACTGAAATAGTATAAATTATAAGAAGGGTGATCACTTCAATCATAACCAGTAGTGTCATATAAGAGTGAACTACCTCAATTTACATATTATAAGCAACACCTGGTCATATACAAATATGCCAGAAAAAATTGTTTAGCAACTGGGAGACTATTCCCTGTTGCTGCTGTTTTCCAAGCGTGTGTAGAGTTCCTTTTTTTGTCTACAGACTCATTAGTACACAGAGCCAGAGGTGGCTCTAAAAATTTGCCAACATGGGGTCCGAACCAAAGAGCCTACTACATGTAAGAGCCTTGGTCAGGGTCCAGATATAAAAATCCTGGTAAGGTTCATAGAAAGTGGTTCTATGGCTTATATGGCCCAAGTTGTGCTTTTAGACCATAATATCAGGGAATGGCAACCAAAATAACATTATTTGTAAAGGCAAATTGTAATTTTTGGTCTGACGACCTTGTCATGGCGTCAGGTGACGGGAGCGTTCAGAGGTCTGTTCAACGGAGAGTAAATATCCTCTGGTACCCCCACTGTTGCCACTACTGCACAAGACCAATGGATTAAGATGGATGAAGCAGAGAATGAGGTAATTAGAATAAAATTTCTAATTTAACATCACACAAGTTAAGATTAGTTTCAGCAGGTTTTAAACACAGGAACATGCACAGAACAGACAAATCCAATAAGGAAAAGGCGCTCTGCATTGGCACCGCCATTGTTGGGTACCTCCTTGGGGTCCCCCGCGTTCATGTCATGAACATATACAGTGGCGCGAAGCATTTAGAGTAGATTCTGATAGAAACGTACTACAATTCCAATATTTACATTTGCAGCAGATGATGCGTAAATCCCCCACCGGAAGCCCCCTGTTATGTCGGCTGCAGAAGGAGAATATCACTATAAATGGATTGGTCTATAATATAAATAATTATCTTCAATTACCTTGAGACTTGATAAATGTCAGATGATCGACCTTCTCTTAATCTCAATATCCAGGCTCCAGGATTGGCTTTCAATTGGAAATAGCCCTAGAATGCAAAAGAAGCAAATAACAAACAATGGTAATCTCAAGTCAATAAACTTCTTCCTATGTATAATTACCTCCACTAAGGAGGTTCTGTATTCACTACTGTTTGTCTGTTAGCAAGATTATGCAAAAACCAAGGAATGAATCATCTTAAAATTTAGTAGAATGGTACATAATAATCAAATTTTGGACAAGGTCAAGGTCACAGAAATCTAAATCGCCTGCGTATTGTTCAGTATTCAAGCACAGGGCGAAAAATAATGGCATCGCCCATCATACATGGCCTGGGTTTTGTTCAATATTCAGGCAAAGGGCAGAGGTGCACTCTATAGAGTGACTGCTCTAGTTAGTTTATGTATTTTTAAGCATGGGATGATCTAATAATTACAACTTACCAGGTTTGCCATAACAATGGTGTCTACAATAACTGGTTGGCTCTTAGTGCCTAGTGTGAACTGCAGACCTCTGGGAGGTTGACCCGAGTTCTGGTCATAACAGTGACCTTCTAGTAGCAAGTATTCCAACTCATACTTGCCATACACAGATGAATCAACCTGTAACAAACACAAATGTTGCAATTAATGCTGTGTTATAAATGTTATCTCGTTCTACATCAAGAATATTGTGATAATCAACCATTGACCATACGTAGCTCAGTATGAATCTTTTAACGATGGTAAGATCATTATCTGAACACAGAAAGACAAAAATTCTTGGTGTCCTTGGAATTCTAAAATGTAGTTTTGGAAAAATTTACACTGTGCTTTAAACTTTTACCCAATGCATCAGAAAGCTAATTACACCATTCACAAAAGTTAATGTTAAGGGCAGCAGTGCACAGGTGATTATAATGGAATACTCAGGGCATCTGCGACACCCTAGGCTGAAATTAATGGTGCATGGATGTCACCACAACATCAGCAATCCAATGATATTTTGAGCATTTGAGTTGCAAATGTGTTTGAACTAATACAGCATTCCTTTACAGCATACATACATACATCATATTCTAAATGACTATATGATATAGTATAAAATTTCAATTGTTATTTACTGTATTACAATAGGCTAGCTGTAGTAAAATACCTCTGATAGTTTAATGTTATCCAGATCATACGGCGTATTGACAGCCTCCACCAACCAGCTCTCCGGTGTAATTAGGTTCATGGTAAGTAGGACGTCGAGAGGCATGTCGGTGAATTTAGCAGATGGACCCGTAGACAGAGAACTATCAACTTGGAATGTCAACTCTGGTTCAAATACGTAACGGTAAAAGCTGAAACAAAATAAAAGTAGCAATATAAATGCTGTCTGTGATTGAAAATCAGATGGCCTCATTCACAAGTAAGAAGTAGGATAATATAGAAGTATTTTTGGTGTGAATCACGCCAAGGATAACTAACAAAGTCTGAAGACTTATTTCCAGTGTGGTCCTTCTGGTGGTGATTGGGCAATACACTGGGAGACAATCCCCTACTCTTTTCTACAGAGTGTACTGCTTTCTTTAACTTTAACGAGCCACATTGCACATGGTTCTACCGAACTTATATTTCAACCCTCCAGCTGAAATGGAATTTAACCGGGGACCCAAGGATATCCACGGTTCAGCACACACATAGTGGATACCACCAGTTCAGAGAATAGAACAGTTGGTGAAAACAGGTTGTGACCACTGTTTGTGCTATGGAGATATTCCTACTGCACACACTGAGCCATGAAAATCTTTGTGTCCTGGTTCTAATACATAAACTGTTATATCTGTAAAACATAGGTTATAGAGCAATTTCTTTTGGTGACATAAGAATGTAGTAGGAAACCGTCTTCCAGTGTACTGCCAAATTTATCATACCTATTCATACTGCTCCTTAAATTGATCTTTTTTTTCCGATCAACTTCATGTTTATTCCAAATGAACATTATTTGTAACTTAAATATACTTTGTATTGTATTGTACTCATAATCATGTTTGTTTTCACCTATATCAGTCGCTGACAGGCTACATGGATGATGTTTAAACAAATCTTTAACAAAACCCGAACCTTATACAGTGCACCCTCCAATTCAAAACCCCTTTAATTCTGAGACCTGTCTAATTCAAGACCACTTTTTCAAAGAAGAACCAAATAACAATCTTCAATCTATTAACACTAGATAACCCTCTATACGGAGATGAACCCAGAGGCTACACTAAATTTTCAGGTCCTGAAGGTGGTTTCGAATTAGAGGGCAAACTGTAAATGATTATGATAGATAACTACATTAAGAAAATACCTTTTTATTGGCATTTCTGAAAGCTTTTCCCTTGGATTCAGAAACAACTTTAGCCTTACATTCAAGACTTGAGTAAGAACGTAGAGAATATGACTCCACTTTTGACAATTTCTCGACAGAGGATCAAGTACAGCTGTAATCTCATAACTTGGTATATTGGCTTCTCTTGCTTCAATCTCTAAAATGCTGAAAATTTACACACCAATTTGTTAATATGTATGTGATCATAATTTAATGGCAACATAAAGCAACAACAATAGCAGCAGCAGCACCAAAATCAACAGCAAAGCAACAACAACATTTTAAAAAAAATTTAAGAAAAAGAAAATTGCATTCACATCTAAATATGAGAGTACCATTTCAGGACATCTAGCATCTAGAGGTGCTGTAGACCTAATGAGAGGTGCAGCAGACCTAGCTCAGGTAATCTGCATTTTTCAACTGTAAATTACCCTTCCCAGGCCTCCTCTATTTCAAAATCCTGGATCCACCACTGAAAATTAAGTTCGCATATTTAAACCAACATAGGTATGATTTACCAAAGGTAGAATACCCTTCATTTTGGTCAAAATATATGCAGTTGATGATGATAATACCTGTGTTCACTCTTCCATCTTGGGACATCTCTCCTCATGTCTGCTTGAGGGTTAGCAGCAAGTAAAGCATCAACCTTCATTGTGAGGTCACTCTTGTTTTCTACGTCTTCAAGCAATTTCATCTGAAATATAAAATTTACACTTAATTTGAGTTTCATATTAAAAGAAAAAAAAACTATACCTGATGTACACAATGTTCATTCGTCCCACAATAAGGAAAATTTAGAACACCTGTTACATTGCATCCATTCATCTGTGCAATATCAGCATGCGTCCTGTTTAATATTTATGTAAGAAAGACACTCATAAGATATTTAGCACACATATGTGGCGATGGTAAAGAGCACAGCTTATATTTCAATCTGGCATCGCATATATCTTACAGTCTGGGTATGAATAGTAGAGACTTTAGCATGGTTTGTGTGCGCTTGTGTAAAGACGAAGGTAACTTTGTATGAATATCTCAAAAAGTCCCATTTATAACACAACCTGGGTAGCAGTTTATCGTGTATGAATTGGGTATTTAATCCAGCAAATGAAAAAGAGACACTTAATTTTTTGTATTGATAACAACTATATAACACATCAAATAAAACTTGGGCACAAGGTATAAATTTGATCGATTTTTAAAATGAAGATGAAGGTATTTCGGTCATAACCTTCATGAGGTGTAAAGTATAAAAATCCAAGTTAAACAATTTAAACACATACCCAATGCAAGATATAACCTGAGGCAAGATTATATATACATATAAACAAATTAACATACATATGAACAAATTACATAAACTTGATTAAAAGAACTAAACCAAATTAAAACACACACATTTTTTTAATTTGTTAAAAATAAACTTCTACATTACTTGAGATCCTGTATTGACTTACTTTATCTTTTACACTGTTTGCTGAACTTGATGCAACCAATTTCTCAATCAGCTGGAAATCCTCCGTCACCAAGTCTTCATCATCTCTCAGCGGTCCAAAGACCTGAAAAACAATTCCCCAGAATCCAACATAATTCACTCCCAATTGCTAAATTTTTGATGATAATGTCTCTAAATACTTCACTCAATTATTAACAAACTATGTTGCTTATAAATCACAGAACTATATCATCAGTTAGCATGATTAATTTAGTGGAATCATTGTAGCACATAATCATCTCTATTCAACTTATAAAATATATGAAGGGACCAAAAACAGTAGTGTCCCCTCTAAAGGGGTTTTCCCTGAAGAGGGGTTAAATATGTATTGATTGGACCATTTGGCACACTCAAAAGGTGTCCCCATCCACATTTTTTGATTGCTGTTTGTTCTTGTTTTTTTTTTCTTTCTTCCCTCACCATCATTGTCATTGTTTATCTCTGCGTGTCCTTTTATATGGCAAGTCTGGGGTTTCTTTTGTGTGCTTCATTTTATGAATGATTAAGCAATTTTAATTTGATTTTTAAACTGAATTTGACTAAATAAACATACCCTTCCGTTGCACACAACAGCAGCCTGGCCACCTGCTATGGACAGCGTCTTCTCAGCAAACAGTCGGTAAGCTGAGAACACAGCTGATAAGTCTTTATTGAAATATTGACCGAACAGCTCCATGTCCATTCCCTTTGAAAAAAAAAGTTTAAATCACATCATTCAATACATCAAGTTAAAATTCAATCAGTTTATTTTTCCACCAACTGCTAGTGAAGCTCGTCTCTAATGTTTTATTTATAGTTGTTGTTCTGAGTTTAGAACTATAACACAAGATACAAGTGTGACAATTTCTCATCGAAATATGTGGTTCCCATCCAAATGTGTGGGGAAATCATATATTGGTCTTTCAGGGTGAGCAATGCATCAGTGACAGCACAAGATCTTCCACTACAAGAGGTGCAAGGTCCCTGACAGATGAGTCCAATGTCCATGTTCCCCAGCCACACCATGTTTGGAGCAAATTTAAAGAATGGGTATCTCTGGAAGCCATGAAATGGCACTCACAGGCTGTAAAAAAATTAACCTTCAAAGCAGTGTTCTCTGTAGTAATGATTGGCTTCATCCTTAAATATTTTAAAATATTGAATTATACTTACATTAACATATAGCTCATCAACTTGTTTGCTGCCAGCAGCTATACTATCAAAATTCTCTTTCTTCACTAATTTTTGTATAAATAATTTAGCATGATTTTTGGATTGGGATTGAAGAGCTGCATATATTGCCTTTGGAAGCCACAACAATGAATCGGATGAAGTACTTGGGTTGTAGATGACGCCGATGCGTACAGCGTTAGACATTTTCTACAAGGAGACACAAAAAGAATGATATATAAGAAATCAGTTCAATGGTACAATTTTGCAACAAAAAAAAAATTTCTATTAAGCTCTATCTGAGATATCGAGCACTCTACATCATAGATG